CACACACACACACACACACACACACACACACACACACACACACAAGAGATGACTCTCTCCCAGTTGTCTTCAGCCATGTCATCACACAGAGAGCGAATCCCTTCCAGTTGTCTTCAGCCTTGTCATCACGGAATGAAAGCAAAACGAATAACGAAGTGTAAAGGATAAAGATCAGTGCAACAAACCAGATAGACAAATGCATCAGATGTTTTCAATAGTGAAACGGACGAGGTGGAAGAAGGGCAGGGACTTCCGATGTTCGATCCATCGACTTCGGTGTGGACAGAAGTGTCGCAAGCAAGACAGGCGATCGTTCATGCTCTCCACACGGCGCGTGCGTATTACGTCTGAGGAGGCACACGCCACACCTCCTCGCAGCCCAACACCCTCCTACTCTCCTCCCCAATCCTCCCTCCATCCCACGAGATCAACTTGGTTCTTCCCCCCCCCCCCCCCCTCCTCCTTTTTTTTAACCCAATTGCCCATTGAATCCAGATCTGATCTTTTCCTCTTTCATTCATTGAGTAATTAGAATTCACCAGTCTCATGCACGACGACGGTTACAAACGATCCAATGCAAGCTTATATTAATAATATTAATAATAATATTATATAATATAGTAGCACCATCCATCTGCAAGACTTCCCACTCAAGCAAAAACCTGACGGCCACGATATTCAGAGACAGCCGCTCTTTTTATTTAATCCGCAAAAATCTCAACAAGATCTGATATTTCGAAGCTCAGGCACAAGCAGAGCCCAACATATAAAAGCCAACACCCCCCCCCGCCTTCTGCATAAGCAATCTCAGCGCACACCGCCTTCTGCATAAGCAATCTCAGCGCACACCGTCGCCAAACTCGACTCTATTACCATAACTGTTCATCCTCATCCCCCAAACCCTCGCTCCCCTCATCACCCACACGACCTGCTCATCCTCAACCCCAACAAACCCCTCAAAACCCCCAAAACCCCCAAAACCCTCACTACCCCCATCCCCCACACGAGCTATGAACACCACCTTTCGAGTGGGTCTACCCCCAAAACCCCCAGACCTAGGGGCATTTGGCACGTGCGCGTGAACCCGTGTGTGTGTCTTCTATATTCATGTCGGAGGTTAGCTCTCCCCGAAACACGGGGAATCAACACCTCAAAGAGGTAGTTCACCGCTGTCGGAGATGAACACCTTGCTCTTGGGCGTGCCTTCCTGGGATCCCTCCGACTCCATCTTATAGACCACGTCCATGCCACTGAGCACCTTGCCGAAGACCATGTGTCGCCCATCGAGCCAGCTGGTTGTGACTGTGCAGATAAAGAACTGAGAGCCGTTGGTGTTTCTTCCGGCGTTCGCCATCGACAGGATGCCTGCTCCTGTGTGCTTCAGCTTGAAGTTCTCGTCCTCGAACTTCTCTCCGTAGATGGACTCGCCTCCCATTCCGTTGCCCATCGTAATATCCCCGCCCTGAATCATAAACCCTGGAATGATGCGGTGGAAAGGCGAGCCCTTGTAGTGGAGCGGCTTGCCCGACTTCTTGCCCGCGCCCTTCTCTCCTGTGCAAAGCGCACGAAAGTTTTCCACTGTCTTCGGCACCGTGTTCCCAAAGAGTCCGAAAACGATTCTTCCGGCATCTTTCCCGCCAATTGTCACATCGAAGTACACTTTGTGCGTGATCTCGTCCAAAGGAGGAGACTTCGTCTTCGTCTTCGTGCCCGCGTCGATGGAAACGATGGCGATGGCCGCGAAAACAGCAATGGCCAACAGGACACACAAGCCCAGTCTGTTTCTTCTTCGCGTCGCCATAGCTGCCTTCAGTGCTGCTTTCTCCTCCTCCTCGCCGTCGAAACCGGGTCGATGAGAAATGGGAAGCACCGGATCCCGGTCACCGACGCGCAGTCGCCACGCCAGTGTAAATGACTGCGTATACCCTAAGTGAACGTTGAACTCGGTTCTCGCTATTTCTATTTATATCTCTCTATCGCGCATCACGCGCGATCAAACATCCGCAGTGAATGCTTCGTTGATAACCTGCACAATGTGAAACAGAAATTTGGCCCCACTTATCACAATCAATCAATCAGTCGACCATGTTTAACAGAGAAAAAAAGAGAAACAAAAATCGGCCCCGCTTTCACAATCAATCAATCAATCAATCAATCAATCAATCAATCAATCAATCAGTCAATGTACTCATACAGATTAACCTTTGTTGATCTTCGTGAGTAGATTGATTGATTGACTCATTGACTGATTGTTTGATTGGTTGATTGATTGGTTGATTGATTGATTGACTGATCCCCCTCCCTCCTGCTCCCCTCCATAACCCCCCATCCCTGCGTGCTTTCCCCCGCGTACCGTCCCCACCCCACCCACCCCATTGCCGTCATTTAAAAAAGGGGGGGGTGGGAAAACAGAAAAAGAAAAACGAAAATAGCCGCCCCCCTTTGTCAATCGATCAATCAATCAACCAATCAACGAACCAATCAAGCAATCAACCAATCAATCAATCAATCAATCAATCTACTCATAAAGATACACTGAGGTTGATCTTTATGACTAGATTGCTTGCTTGCTTGCTTGCTTGCTTGCTTGATTGATTGATTGATTGACTGATTTTCCTCCCCCTCCGCTCCCATCCATGCTCCCCTCTCAGGCTCTTTTCAAAACAACAAGCTTGCCCTCCTTTTTTTTTATACCACCACTACCTATTTCTCCTTTTTTTTTTTTTTTTT